CTCTCTCCCACACAAGCTTCTCTCCACCTCCCGCAATCCTCCTGCTCTTGAGGCCGATTGGCTGGGTCACGTGGGCGGAGCCAAAAAAGTCCCCCAATGAGCAGCTCCGTGGTCTGAAAGGGCAGGGAAACAGCCCAATGAGCATCACTGCAGAGGAGCCAATCAGCTAGATGTTGCTGGGGCCGCTGTGAGCCAATCATCAGCCGGCAGCTGGAAGTTTGCTGGGGCCCCTTCGGCTGTGGCTCTCAACAGCAGGAAGGTGAAATGAAGTACAGAAGGGAACGAAGAGGTTGCCCTGTTCACAGCCTAGTCCCTGGAGACAAAGTGGCATCAGGTGAAAGGACCAGGAAACCTGGTGACCATTAGTCTTCAGAGTGGGCCAAGCAGACATAATAAGACATGCGTGCTATGCGAATACGACCACTGCATTTATCACTGCCAATCCACAATCACTCTGACTGAGCAGCTTGACAGTGTGGTTCATGAAAACCTCTTCTTGAGATAAACCCACTTTCAGGTTTATTTTCAAAAGTCAAGTCTTTAGTCGGCACAGCAGTTTCAGACCCTGGATACAGTGATGTCACCACTTCCCAGCAGCCAGACAGCATCTCTGTGGCCATCTTTCCTAACTCCTAATTCTAGCATTATTAAACCACAATAACTTCAATATTGACTGTTTTTTTTTTTTTTTTTTTTTTTATTAAAGCAAAGTAAGTGCATGCAGAGGAAAAACATGACGGTGTAGAACTATTTTAAAACAAACATAATAGAGAAGATTATTACGAAATCAACAAATTTAAGAACACATTTAATTGCAGTCACTTGTTGGCTAAAGCAGACAGCACAGTATGTAGATCAACGGAATCTGAACAACTTATCCACCAAAGTCCCACTTTTTATAATAAACTACCCACAGGTCAAGTTGACAGCAGTCCAGATGGCCACCAAGTGCACAGTATAACTAATGGCCATTGTAACCATTGTCACACTAGTTAAATGGCACAACCAATGGGTCAGCTGGAAATCAGGACCATTTGCCACCCCAAGGAAGGAGAGCAGCCCTGTTCCAGGCTACCTCCTCCCAAGATTCGCCTGCTTTGGGAATCAAATACACTTTCCTACAACAATGCAAATACCCACCTGATTCCCGACAACAGATCCAACTGCTAGGACAAATTTCTTTGGCTGGCAGTGTCCAGGCAGTGGTAGCACAGGAACTGTGACAGACCTAGAATTACTCATACAGAACCCTGCTATATCATGAGAGAACTAAAAGGCACAAAACTAAGGCAGGTTACTGAGCTGTTAAGGGCTTTACTAATCTGGCAACTTCCCATCTTCAGCAGAACTTCAGGGAACTCTAAAAAGAGCTACACTGAAATGCCAACCTACTGCTTTCAAGTCACATGAGGAAAAGACATAAAATCAGATTTCTACTCACCTTTACAACAGGTAAGTCAAAGACTTCTCGAGCTTCTCCAACCTCGGGATTGTCCCCGTCCTCTGAAATTATGTGTGAGGCTAGGGCATTGTAAGAGACCTCCTTGGCTTTTCCAGCCTTAAGAAGCTGAATAACCTAGCAAAACAAAAACACAAATTAAAATGTAAACACTATATATACTCCTGATTTGTGTAAATAATTACTGGAAATTTTTAATAAAAGTATACTACCTATCCTACATAGTTAGTAGCTTTACTCTAATATGCCAAGGAAATGTTTGGGAACAATAAAAAGCAGCAAATCATGATCCACTAAGTGACACAAGACATTGCAAGCCAGCTATTAGGCATGGCATATCCTCAAGACAGGACACAGAAGTCGCTGCTGAGATGGGGCCATGGAGAACACTCCTCCCAAGTCCCCAGCCTAGAAGTCTGGGATGGACATTTGCACCACAATTAGGAAAGTTTCTGGAGGAGACCCAGGAGAATTCTTATGAATTTACAGGTGCCAGCCAGGCACACATACATGCTGGGGAGGGCACTATGTTCAAGGCATTGGTCAGGTGAACTCAGATCAGACTTTAAAGGGTCTCTTACTAAGCGTTATGCACAGTCTTGTCTCTCATTCACTGAAGGACAAGCAGGAAAGCAACACACTCAGATCTTAAGATGAGTCTCGGCCTGAGAAGAGATTGGGGCTGGCTGCATAACCAGACAGGAGTCCAATTAAGACAACTGCACTAACCCAGGTGAAGAGGCAGGCAACTTCATTAAAGGATGCCATTAGCAATAGGAAGCAGGAAGATATGAGAGAATTACCCAGTGACTGGAAGGGCTGCAAGCATAAGGGAAAGGCAAGATAGAAATGCTGGGGAGCGCTGGCACCACTCCCTGAGGAATGCATCAGAAACACAGGAGTAAGGAGTTACAGCATGGCCTTCAATTTGGGGGCAGTGACACTGTTCTTTGGTGCCACGTGAGACACTTGGCAAGATGCTTCCAGTTACATCTAGAAAGAGATTTGATCTCCCAGGACAGAGTACCGCATGTTAAACACATGGCAGTCAAAGCTCTGAGAATGAGATCCCCCAGAATGCAAAGTGTGGGCAGTGAACTGGAGGTCAACTGCTGATGACACTTCAGGATCAGTGGCAATAACAACAGTATCAAAGGAGAGCAGCATCAACAGAGCCAGGAATGGTGAGGGTCAAGGAGATCACGAACTGAGAGTGTGCACCAAATACGAAATGACATGGTATTGACAGCTAAATTAACCCACAAGGGGAACCCTTCTTAGTTACTGGCCACCAGTAGATCTTTAATATCACATCCCCTGCACCTGCCATACTTACATGAAATACTCATGCCTGCAACAGACCCCTCTCGGGCCCCTTCTCTGCTTCCTTTTCCTGAAAAATTTTCTGTGTTCACTTCTTACTTCCTATTCATTCAACTCCCTGCAGACCTGGTGCTTCTACAAAGACTCTACTGAAAACTGTTTTCATGAGCTTTTTGGACACCGAATCTAGTAGCTTCTTCCCAAAATCCACATTATTAACCTCCACATGACAAGAATTATCTTTTTTTGCTCTTTTCTAGACAGTGGTCATCTTGATGTATTGCATGTACATAAATGCCTTCAATCCCTAGCACTTATATTCCCCATGAAAGTCATCTCTAGCCCTCTTAATTTCCATTTATCTCAAGACTCTACTTAGCCACATTTCAGCGATATCCTCTCCCAAACGCCCAGTGGAGAAATGTGTTCACCTTTCAGCAGTGCACCACTGTGCTGCGGCTTATTCCTCCCCATGGTGATCCTAACTGACCTGACACCTATGTGTGGCTCACAGATATTCATCACTTATGCACTTTTTGCATCTACACTTACAACATTCAGAGAATGGATGTTGGACTCTAAACTTTTTTATACATATATATACTGTTAAAGTGGTTTGCCAAAGAAATTTTTAAGTATTTAGATTTAATTCATAGTTGAACACATACTCCCATTCAGCTTGTTCCTGGCTTCAAGAAACATTTGGGTCAAGCCCCCTGTAAGAGGCAAAGTCCTTGAGGAGCAGGAGGGAGAGCAAAGAACAGTGGGTAGTGGAGGGGAAAAGGCGGAAATTACAAATAGGAGAAGAAAAAGGCACCCTGTTCAAGAACTCACTTTGACCACCGAGACCTGTTTGAGACCTGTTTAAGTCTTTAAACACAAAGCTAGAAGTCTCTGCACCCTGAAGTCACAATGGAAAAGAGTTTGGTTACTAAGATACAAGTCTCTGGAAGGCCAAGATAATCAGCCTTCCACAATTCCTTCTACAATACCCAAGTTTATCTGTTGCAGGTCAGTATCCACCTCCTGTGCCTGTGTTCTGATCGCCCAGGCATTCCCAATCCTTCAAGCTCAGAGCTGAGATGTGACACCCAAGGCAGCACAACTGTACAGTTTTAGGAAAGGAAATGTTTTGAAGATTTGACCTGAAGAGTCCAAACTAAGGTGCATTCCTCCCGCGGAGGGTGGTTAAACTGATGAACCGCTTAGGAAAACCCACACCATCCCTAGGCGTGGGAAAATTAAATGCTTATGTAGTATTACCAGGGCATTTCCCAGGTTTACTGTGCAATTCACCCAGTTAGGAAAATCGGAGAACAGGAAGGCCAGCCCCTGCAGGGAGCGCTCCCAGCCCGCGCAGGACCCGCGGTCACCCGGGAGGCGGCCTGTCCCCGCGGCGCCCGGGCCCGCGCGAGCTACCGGCGGAGCTCGGGGCCCGTGCCTCCCCGGCGCGCAGGCCGGCTCTCCGCGGCCCCGCCGGCCCGGCTGCGCGTGCGAGGAGCGGCGGGCGGGGGCGGGGCCGGGCCGGACGGGACCGTGGTGGCGCACCCCGCGCGCCCTCCCGCGCGGCCCGGCACCGGCGGCTGCTCCCGCGTCCAGGAGCGCGCCTGCGAGGGAGCCAGACCGGCCGGGCCGGGCGCACCGGGCCGCGGGGCGGTACCTGCGGGTCGATGTCGCCCACCGCGTAGTACTTGACCTCTCGGAACATCTCCTCGGGAACTTCGGGCGCCCGGTCCGACATGGTGGCGGCGGCGCGGACGGCTGCGGAGGCGCCCGCCCCGCCCCCGGCCCCCGCCCACCGCCCGGCCCGCGCAGCCCCGGCCGGCCCGGCCCTGCGAATCGGGGCTTGCTCCCCCGCCCGCTGCGCCCCCGCCCGCGCCGAGCGCCCGAAGCGCGGGAGCCGCGCGCGTCTGCGGGACGCACCACCGCGCCCATCGCAGAGGGGGAGCACTCGGGATTTGGCCCGGAGGTCCGCATCGCCGGCACCTTCGCCACGGCCTCGCGACCCCAGAGGTGCTGACGTAGGCCCAGCCGCTTCGCACACCGGTGGCACGAGCTCGCTGCCGTCCCGCGAGGTGCCCTGGAACGCGGGACAGCGGGCCACTCCCCCGCGGGGCCGCAGTGAGCCGGTCCGGACCGCGGCGCGGCCCCTCCCGTCACCCCGCGCGGCCGCGGGCGGCGCATGCGCGGGGCGGGGCCTCGCTCTGGGGCGGGGCCTCGCGGGCGGCGGCCTTGGCGACCCACCCGGCGCGGATCTCCGGGCCCGGGCTGCGGGCGTGTGCCAGGGGATCTCCGGCGGCCCTTGGGGATCAGGCCTAGCGGGGCGGGAAGGCCCACAAGCAGCGCGCCCGGGAGAGCCGGTGAGACGACGGCGCGCGGCCGGCTACGCGGGGCGGGGGGCCGGGGCGGACGGAGGGCCCGGCGCGCGGCCGAAGGTGCTTGGCGCTTGGTCGTCGCCGCATTGTCGTCTCGCGGTGGTCCCCCTGAACAGCCCGAGGCCACTAGGCTGAGCCTGGCAGACCTTTACAGATGCCGAGAACGGCGCCCGCCTGCAGGATGACGCGCAGTTTGCCGGGCGCCGGATTTCGTGGCGGCGCGCGGCACCGGAGCCTCCAGGGCCCAGGGAAGGGTTGAGTGGAGACGGCGTCGGCGCGACGGTCGTGGGTCCCCAGACCGCATGCCTTTGTGTTGGCCTGCGTGAGCGAAGGGTCACTTAGCCCTCGGTGCGCTCGGCTACGCTCGGCTAGCAGAAAGGCGTGCGTGGTTTCAGGCTGAGGCTGGAGGTGGACCTCAGCCCGGGGTTTTCAGGTTAAAGCAATTTATGACCTTCCGCAAGGCCAGGTTGGGAGTCCTCGTGGACGTTCCCATCGACCTTCCCGAATGTGCACGGGGTCTCACTGCGCGCCTCGGGCAGGCCTGGAGGCATTCAGAATCGTCACGCAGAGCACTCATTTCACTGGGTCTCAGCCACTACCCACGAGTATTGAAAAATAAAATTGTTACTTGAAAAAAATTCATTTGTATAATAGATAAACTGACATCTTTTAAAAACTGACATCCTGTAGTCATGAAGAATGGAAATTGAAGTTTCAATGATAAACAGTAAATCTCATAAAAACACCATCTTAAGACAGGGTCCACATCTATAATATGGAATGTCCAACTGCAAAGTTACAGGAAAAATGCCCCATGGAGGCTTCCATTTTATATTCTGGATAGCTAGATCTTATCACTGATTTTTGTAACACTTAAAAGATGACCCACTTTAGGGTAATATTTCATTTCTGGAAGCTTCACATCTTTTGTGATTTGGAGGCATATACCACCCCAAATATAATAACCCTAGTGTAGATGAATTTTGAGTTTTTCCAAATAAATTCCAAGCATGATCATTTTGCTTGATAACCTTAAGTGAATAAACAGCCTGCTTACTGCTAATTTGGTAAATATAGTGATATGTTTTTCGTTTCCTCTTAGAAATTTAGATAACTAAGGAAAAGTCAAAGTAGGATTGAGAATATTTAGAATAGTACCTACTGAGATAAACCTGAGACCATTATTTAGATAAGAATTTCCAAATGGCTTTTTTAAAATGAATTTTTATATTGAATACCACAGTCTCTTAGTTTCATGGTCTGTTCAGTTTAGCTAGACACAGACCCCCTAAAGTTAGATATTAATGTTTAATAACTCTTTAGCCTGGATTTATAGGTCACCACACTCAGTCTTACATGAGAAGGACAGACCACTTAAGTTAGAGACATAGGCCAGAGTTTCATCACAGGAAAGGTCAGAAACCCAAAGGGCATCCTTTGTGGGGAGGTTTCAACAAATTGGTTCTGAGAGCTCAGTGCTACCACTAGTTGTGCAGTGTAGGAAAACTGAAAAAGCACAAGTTACCCCAAATTCCTGTTGAGATCCTTCTAGACTGTTCGATATAGATGTATTCTTCCTTTAAAAAAAGGTCACACACCATGCATTTCTTTTGCCCTTCAAGAGAAAGAAAATGTCAAGAATGGCCTTCCTTGTCTGTAAATAATAGATCACTTAATAGATACATGATACTCCATTGTTTGACTTGCTAATGGAAAATAACAATTCTGCTTTGAGGAAATAAAAATAATTGTTTATTCTGAGCTAAATATGAATGACCGTGCCCTAGGTAGTCAACTCCAGTTACCTGGAGAGATGCAGTTCCCCATGGAGAAGATTGGGCAAGCTCTTATAGACCACAGGAAATAGGTGGAGTCATCAGTAAGCAGACTGTCAAGGAGCTGGGAAACCTGTTCCAGGGAATTCAGGGGCTGTCTCCTGTCTCATTTCCCAGCCTTAAGGTTGGGAGAGGCCACAGGTTCATCAAGCTTAGCATACATTTATCCCGTGGCCACAAAGATGCGAAGTCAGACACCAAGGCCAACAAAAAGTGTGTTAAAAGGGTCCCAAGGTAGTCCAGTATAGTCTTGGCTTCTTAATGAACTCTGTGCTCCAAGAAGCTCCCAAATAAAAGTGCAGCCCCTACAGAGAACTTCAGTTCACAGCCTTCCATAATTTAATTCTGTGTTGCACATTCACCACTTCCAGTTTAACAATTACAAACGATGCTTTGATGAAGCAAATCCTCTCAAGATAGGAGTACATATAGGATGCAGTAAAGATAATTTTAAAATCTTTAATTACTTAATAGATATTTATTGGATTTGGGGTTACTTGCTTTATATGACAAAAATGAATAATGTGATACCATCCCGTGCTTTCAGATCAGAAACTCCCATCCCTGAGCACAGTGCCTGAGCTCAGAGCGCATTGGTCAAGAGGATTTGAATCACTGATTCTGAACCAGGCAGGCACTTTTGAAACCCCTGAAAGATAACACGTTTTCATCACCAGCCACTTGCATTGGCCAGAACCTAGGCTCATGACCCCAACCTCAACTGCAGGGGAGCTGGGTCTTCCTGTGTGACTAAGACATGGCATTGCCAATTTCTGTAATTTATGGTTTTTAAAGAAAAAAATCTACAAAATAAGATTTGAGAATACAAAATAAAATGAAAGTTTTTGAAGATAACTTTTTAAAAAAATCCTTAATTACTCAGTATTTATTGAATTGGGGTTATTTGTTTTATATGACAAAGATTCATAGTCTTTTTACAAAGTAAACCTCTAGGTTCATTTTTGCAATCGGTGTTTATCACAGGCCTGTAACCAATGTTGGGTATCTTTCATTTGACTGCCCACCCTCAGATCTAAACTATCCTTCACTGATTTCTACCCTAGTAGCTGACTCAAATAAATTACACAAATGGTCTCCCTGGTACTCGGGCTTGAATTGAATCTGACCCATGGGGACTTCCAGCAGGAACTTGAGAACTGAGGGGTGGGAGGGAGGTCATAGTGTGTTGATCTCCCACCTACCTTGGGAGGTCACCTTGAACTGGCAAAAGACCCTGTTCTACATGATCCCTCTTCCCTGCCTGGACATCCTTACCTCTGGACCTAAGGGGGGTGAGGTCTCCTTGATTCTTTCCCCAGGTTCCTTCCCCATTGTTCACTCTGCCTACACCTTCGTGAGTAGTCCCTTCATAAACTCTCAGGTAATTCTGAGTACAGGTGTCCTTATTATGGCCCTGTTATAATGGACATAAAACCTCAAAGGGATAGCAAGGTTTCTTACTTTAAAATATTGTCTGTTGGGGCTGGGGATATGGCTCAGCGGTAGAGCACTCACCTTGCATGTTCAAGGCCCTGGGTTCGATCCTCAGCACCACATATAAATAAATAAAATAAAGTTATTGTGTACAACTACAAAAAATAAATATTAAAAAAAATATTGTCTGTCCTGGAAAAACTAACAAACATGTGGACACATGAGCCAAACACTGATGGATTAATCGTGCGAGAGGTCCCTGTGCGCTGCTGAGGATGCTTGGATAGGTGGGCAGAGGGGAGTCACAGACGGGAGGAAGAGGCCAGAATGCTGGTACTGATGGAATAAAATTTTGCACATTTTAGATAGTACATCATCAATGATTTGATGTAAGGTTAAAAACTAGGGAATAATGAAAGACTTGTGTCCTGTGTGTGAAGATCGTGGAGTCCCATCACCAGAAGAGGTTGTTGCATTGAGACCTAATAATCCCATAGTTTACTAGCCATGTGAAGTTAAGAACCTCATGACAGCCTGGCTGTAGGATTCACTGCTTACTCTTGGGGATTAAACTATGTTTTCCCAACAGATATTATTAAGTCTTAACTAAGATTCTACCCCTGCCTGTAAATGTAGACTTATTTGGAAATAAGGTCTTTGCACAAGTTAAAATGAGGTTATACCAGATTAGGGTGGGCCCTAAATCTGATCACTCGTGTCCTTATAAGAAACATTAAATTTGAATACTTAGGGAAGATGCCAAGCAGTGATAGAAATGGAGTAGGAGTGATTCTTCCCTCAAGCCTTGAGAGAGCAAGGCCCTGCCATTTCCTTCATTTCTTACCTCCAGAACTGAGAGTAAGTTTCTGTTGTTTCAAGCTAACCAGTGTGTGATTTTTGCTACAGCAGCCCTAAGAAACCAATAACTGGGCATCCCTAAAGGACAGTCCCCAAACAAAAATTTTCACTCTTGAGTTATAGGAATGTGCATGCAAGCATTCCATTTGCCCATAGCTTTCAGATGTTAACAGGTAGGAAGAGTGAGCGAGACACCTGAAAAACACATTTTGCTGTGATGGGAGGGACAGAAGTCAAAAATGAAGCTAAAAGATTAAAATATTGGACCATGTTTAGAATTTATTTAAGTCAAACAGCATACCAAACCACAGGACTTGTAACTGTTACAGAACTGCGTGATTATTCTGCCAAGATAGTTAGTTCCGTTCTTTATTTTTTAGGACGTGCTTAGTGTTTGTTTGCTTTTTTTCCTGTCAGCATCACACAAGTCCAGTGGTCATCTGGACCAGGGTGGGTCATCTGACAGCTTCACTAGGCTGTGTGGTGGGCAGCTCCCAGGTTTCAGTGGTTCCCTGCAAAGGTCACTTCCCACTCCTTGTTGGTTGCAAGACAAGCACAGCTCTGTCCCTGAGTCGTCTTCCCTGTGCTCAGCAGAGGTGAGCACAGCTTTGGCAGCTGAGGAAGAAGCATAACAAAGGGTCATGGGGTAGTTCTACATAGTCTGTTCGGAACTCACCTGCATCCCACTGCCTATCCTCATTGCCAGGGCTGACATCAGTGTGGCAGCCACTCTTACTCCCTCTGGGAGGCACTGCAAGTCATGATGCAGTGAGCAGAAGATTCTGCCCAAGTGGCAGCAAGTAACTGAGGGCAGCCATGAAATCTGCTAATTGTCCTTCTTGACACAAAAGTGAACCT